AAGGGCAGCGGTAGGCAGACCGAGTCAGGCCGCCTCGCTTGGCGCGTTGTTCGCCCAAGACCAAGATCGACCCACAGGGCGTTGGCACATGAGAAAATGCGGAGAGTTTTAAGTTGGCCTTACTAGTGTAGCTCTATTGATACTCTGGGGAAACTTCTGGTAGTAAGATTATTAGATCTGCAGATGCCATCAAGTGGACTTGTAGCTCCTGCAGATATCAGTACATGTGCTAAAACGAATTGTGGAAGGCTTACCAGACATATGGGAGCCTTAACAGCCACTCCGAAATACCACAAAGACTAATCATGTTAGCCCGATACCTGTTCTCCTCTACCACCAAATAGCGCATCACAATCTCCCAAAGACCGCGCTTCTCCCCACTGCTCTCTGTTATATTGGAACACAGAGATTTTCATTCTCTTCCTTCTATGAATTGAAATTTATTTGAAATTGCGAACGTTAACTCTGACGGATGATTCGTTCGGCAGCACGGAACTGCTATCATTTAGAGGCCTGGAAATACCCTTGAAGAAGACGAGCCAACCTAGGTTCTGCATGCGTCATCTGCTCAGACTTACCAGGAACCCGTGAATCTACATATGTGCACGCCTAAAATTCAACTTTTTGTCTGGAGTGACCAGGAAGAATACAGCTTTGGAGATTTCGGTATGTATACACGATCTCTTCGGTTCTCGGTATCAACCATTCCCTTTCTGGCCTAGCCTGTTATGTTGGCATGGCTGAAACATGACAGCATCGCTCCTTGCACACCTTTGCACGCCACCGATCAAATGGCCGACTTACAGAAATCATATCGGCATATTGAGCATGCGTCAACGTGTCCATGCGCCACAGACCCGCAAGGTGCGAGGCTATCATAAAGACGCAACCAGCCGGTGTTACTCACTACCTCAGACGACTGTAACTGCTTCTACTCTGCACTATCCAAGACATCTGTCTTCCAGCCCGCTACTTCTAATGGACCAAGTGATGCCACTGGTAATCTGGATGGGCTTGCCCTAGATCACATCCGTGATTTTGTCAGTAAAAGGCGCTTGCAGAGAGGCGAAAAAGACACTCGGCCTCCTTCAATATCGCTTTACCAACCCCTTGCCGATGGTGAGATACGCGTTCTGGAACTGTCTCCTGGGGATTTCGAAGACCCCCTTTACGGCAAGCTGCACATGGTCAACATTGACTTTTCACATCCATCAAGGGTTGAGCATACCGTGTATCCTTTTGACAACCCCGCAAACACGAGTAGAAGGACATTTACATATACGAGACATACTAATCATGCAGTGTCCCTGACTACAGAAACTCCTGTATGGTATACTGCCATAAGCTACGTATGGGGAGCGCCAGTATTTGACCAGACAATTTGGTTGGGAGATATGTCTCTAAAAATCTTGAAGAGCCTGGCTAGTGCTCTGCGCTACCTGCGCTTGAAAGACAAGAGTATATTCGTGTGGACAGACCAGATCTGTATAAACCAGCAAGACATAGCAGAGAAGGGGCAACAAATTCCACTGATGCGCATGATCTACTCGCATGCAACCAACACAGTTATATGGCTTGGGGATGATGATGGCGAAGACCCCGTCGGCGCTCTCGACTTGCTGGAGACTGTCTATGCTCGATTACAGGGAACAGATGCGCAAGTAACACCGGCAGACTTTGCCAGATTAGACTTTCCTCCCGTCTCGGACCAAGTATGGTGGGATGTCCGACAACTTCTCCGGAGGCCCTGGTTCAGTAGGCTATGGACAATACAGGAGGCGGTGCTATCGAGAAACTTGTTTGTCAAATGCGGCCACGCATCAGTCTGCTGGGATGACCTTGCAGCTTGGTGCTATTGCTTGGAAGAGACCGGAATACTCCGCTGGCTCGTCAGCAATGCAGACTTGGACCTTCAACGTCCCCTCCGAGAGCATACCAAATTCTTGCCGCCGCAGGGAGCCGTGGTTGTGGAGTCCATCCAAGCGGATCGTCTTCAAAGCATGGGCCTCATCCAGAAGGAGTATTTACTCAACATCCTAGTATCCACAAGATATGCTCAGGCAACAGAGCCTAAAGATAAAGTGTACGGTGTCCTTGGAATAGCCGACTCGAATATTGTCCCAGATTATTCTCCTAGTCTCTCTGTAAGAGAAGTGTATCGCCAGGCCTGCTTGACGCAGCTACCCCATCTGAAGTATGAGCTGCTAAGTTGCGTCGATCACGATCAGCCATTGCAGCCATCGTGGGTTCCGGACTGGAGTACCCCGCGAGTTACTGAAGCGTTGGGTTACTCGACAAAAGCTTGGGCTCTGTATTGCGCTGGAGGCAGACCCGTAAATGGAAAGGAACCACCCAGAATGGCACTGAGAGAGGACAAGAACGCCCTCACGCTGACAGGAAAGGTTTTCGATATGATCATCAGTGCAGGCTGTGTTTGCGAGGATGCTGTGCTTGACATCGTGGACCCCAAAACCAAAAATCGCGATCTGGCATCATACGTTGATCTGGCACTCAAATCGAAGCAATGGCACAAGTATCTTATATCTGGTACTTCTATTTACAAGGCTTTCATGAACACTCTACTTGCAGGACGGGATGGCTCTGGTGCCTTGGCCCCGACAATCGATCATGAGGAAGCTTTCAGCCTAATACTTGATTCAACGACTGGACAAACGCCTTCTTTGCCTGGTCAGACCATCAGTACACGTCGGCGGAAGGGCCACTTCACACTCGAGAATCTCAAGACCCGAAAGCCGGCCAGAACTGTAGAAGATTTGCAAACGGCGCTCCGGGCCGCATTGAGCATGCGCCGATTCGCTGTCACCAAGCAAGGTTACTTTGCACTCGTTCCGAGGGGTGCGCAGATCGGCGATGAGATCGCAGTATTTGATCGAGCCTGCGTGCCATTTGTGCTGCGACGGAAGAGTAGCGGTTCAGCGCAGAATGATTTTGAACTCTTGGGCGAATCGTACGTCCACGGCGTCATGGAGGGAGAAATCATTAATGCGGATGACGTAAAACTCGAAGATATCACGCTCGTTTGAGGGCGCGGCGGATACTCGATCAGCCGAAGCATATCCAATTTCATTCTGAAACGGGGTTCCCACGTGATCCTGCGTGCGAACACTACCATGTATGTATCGTGTCCTGGGATTTTACATGTTGCGGCATATAGTGCGTACTAGCTTAGTTGGTCACAAGCTACACCCCTCATATAAACCGGCATTTATACCCAACAATTTTCGCACAACGTTGTCTCGCAATCTACTTCCAACAATGCGATTGGCTCATACCAGGGTCACGTAAACCTCCGACGAACCCTCGGCATGTCTTGTATATTGCTTAATCTATACTACTGCCACTACACGTTGTCGGCGGCACGTGTTCCGAATGTAAGATGGGGAAGCCGTCCCGCTAGGATTTCGAGGGGGAGGCGAGCAGCTAACACAGCCATCGGTTGGTGGACATGGTAAAACGCTCCACTTGTTTAGATTCTAACATGCGGACGGAATGGCATCGTTCACTACTAGTCTTGCATTGTTCGATATTTAGGGGTATTGTAAACCCCAGATTTCTGGCCAGGAACCTGGATGAGCAGACTGGAAGATCTTGTTTAAAAGGCGCTCAAGTCCTCATCCATTTGGCATTCAGCACCCACACACCACTCAAAGAAGACACCGGCGCAAAACATCAACATGAGAATCTCAACACCTCTTGTTCTCACGGCGGTAGCCTCCTCAACCACCGCCCACACCATCTTTCTTAGCCTTAACGGCGGTGCCGTTGGCGACGGAGTTCGCGTCCCCACATACGATGGCGTACGTCTCACTACATATCCAACTATCCACCGTCTTCCTTCTCTAACCTTGAAGACACACAGCCCATAAGCGATGTAACCACCAACTCAATAGCGTGCAACGGACCCCCCAACGACGTCCCTGCCAAAACCAACACCGTCATCACCGTCCAAGCTGGCTCCAAAGCCACCCTGACATGGCGACACACACTCACCTCTGGGCCCAACGATGTCGTAGACGCCTCACACAAGGGTCCCGTCATGGCTTATATGAAGAAAGTCACCGATGCAAAGACGGACTCTGGCGTCGGCGGGGGCTGGTTCAAGATTGCACAGGATGCTTTTGACGGCTCGAAATGGGGTGTCGATCGCCTCATTGCTAACCAGGGCAACCAAACCGTCACCATTCCAGCATGCATTGCACCAGGCCAGTACTTGCTCCGAGGTGAGCTTATTGCGCTTCACGCTGCTAGCCAGCTCCTCGGAGCCCAGTTCTACATGGTGAGTTTCCACCCCCCTTTTTTGGTTCTTTCTATCGAGTATTGTACTGATGCGGCGAACTTAGGAATGCGCACAAATAAATGTCGTTGGTGGCTCTGCTAGTAAGACTCCTGCAACTGTTTCGTTCCCTGGAGCGTACAAGCAGGATGATGCGGGTATCGTCTACAACCTGTACGCTGGGTTAAAGAATTATACCGCGCCTGGTCCGGATGTTTTCACTTGCTAGAGATGCGGGTGATTGGTCTACATTCACTGTAAATAGTTCTCAGGATAGATTCATACCATTAGAAAATCTTACAAAATCAACACCTGGGTTTAGAGCAGCCGTTCAACGACGGCAGTTGCTTTTATCACGTTCTTCACATGGAAGTGTACTTGCAGGTGTTCTTTTCTTCTCTAAACCTTTTATCAGACTCTTGCGTCTCAAATATATGATGGTTCGTCCCTCTAGGCGTCACTGATTTGATCTTGAGCTTGCTATGTCTTGCAGTTTATCTTGACTTCCATGAGATCCATGCTACAGTAACACGGCCCAAACCAGTTAATTAAGCATCCTGTCCATTATCCATGCTTCCAACTCTTCCTTATACAGCGGACCTGCATAGTCTAGCGGTGTATATCCTTGATTGTCTCGAGCGCTGACATCAGCACCGCCCTGGATCAAAACTCTGATCGTTTCTGTATGATCGCTTTTCAGCAAGCTCTAGCTGTGCGCAAGAATGGCACAATGCAATGGTATCTTGCCCGATGTGTCCCTCGCTTCTAGGTTGGCTCCATGCTCGTCCAAGGGCTGCACAATTTCTGGATAGATTGCTTGTGCTCCCATATGCAGAGCTGTTGAACCTTCATAGTTCTTTTCATTGATACTTACTCCTAAGAATATCAGCAGCCTGAAGATTGATATTCCATCTTCCGGAGCGATGTTCCAAGCAAATTGATGTAATAGCGTGTCCCCGACATGGCTTTTCGCTCTGAAATTTAGTCCTTTAAGTAGAAAAAGTCGGATCATTGCTTCGCTTCCTGAATCAACCGCCGCATGAAGCAATGTACCGCCTCTATCATCTTTGACCCAGATATCAGCTCCCATATCGATAAGCAACTGTACGTTTTCGACGATACCACTTTGGCAGGAGGCCTATAACGGAGTCCTCCCACCATAATACTTTGCTTCAAGATCCTCTCCTCTGTCAAGAAGTAGTTTGATGATTCGCTCGCAATTAATATCTGGAATTAAGGACAATGGGGCAATCTTTAAACATGGATCGTCAGACATTGCGTTCGAGTTTGCGCCTAAATCGAGTAGGAGCTGTATAGACACCAATTCTCCGTTCAATACTGCATGGTGCAGTGCTGCAATACCGTCCGAATCAAGTTTGTTAATGTCTGGTCCCCTCTCCAAAAGTATCTTCAACATTCTTTTGTTACCCCAACGAGCTGCTTGGTAGAAGGGATTTGGGCCGAACCGGTGTATCGTGAAAGCTGCATCTTGATCAAGAAGTTGCTGTGCCACTACTTCATATCCGTTTTCGAATGATCGCTGTAAAGGCGTGAAACCATCGTAATCCTCTATATTAACATCGACTCCGTGTACAAGTAGTAGCTGCACTACCTCGTCGTTGCCTCCTTCAACAGCCCAATGCAAAGGCGTCATTTCTCGTTGATCCCTTTGATCAAGAAAACACGGTGATTTGAGTTCCGGGTTGTCTTGGAATATCGCTGATACCCAGGATGACACTCCGAAGTAGCTTGCTATATGCAGCAAAGGAGGAGTGGGACACAACCAACTCACGCGCACCTTGAGATATGATTCCCACTAATTGGCTCGCACCGTGGAATTAGTTTGAAAAAAAGAATATAAGTCGTGAAAAAGTTCGTTGGCAGCGTCGAGACAAAGTCGGGCATGTTCATTCCAAAACCTGGTTGTGTATAGAAGGAGCGGTGAATACTCGGAGTTAATATCGTTCAGATCCATCCATGTAGTGCGAGAGTTGCTTTGCGCAATACAGTCGAAACACGTACGGGTAATGCTGCGATGTGTCTCTTTCTGTCGAACACGAAAAAACTCCAGAATGTCGTTTCTATCTCTGTTGCAGCGCAATAGATAGTCCCTTACTGATTGATGGATAAGTGTAACCTCTTCACCCTCAACCTTCAGCATTTGACCACAAAGGGATATTGCATCAATGGTTGTCTGCTTAAGGAGGATAGATGTAGGTACTGGGTCGATGCCTTTGGAACAGATGTTATGGGGAGTTGGTTCCAGACCTACAGCTTGAGCCAGTTCTGCAACTTTGAGGGGGCACTGGGCAAGGCAGACCCATTGTAATATCAACGATAACGTCTCTCGGTTATCTGAAGGAATCGCAAGTACCATATGATCATACATGTTACTCAGATCAATTAGTAGTGACTTTAATTGCTTGCACACTTGGCTCCATGTACGCATCTTCAAAAGGTCGTTAACAGCAAAGCCTACCCATAAAAATGTGCCGCTAGCTCTCGAAAGCAAAGCCTCATGGACTGTTGGGCGAAAAGATTCGTTGAATTTCTTCTTCTGAAATAGTTCATCTATCTTTTCGCCAACGAACAATGCGATGTCGCCATCACCATCGAAAGCATGATCTTTATCTAGGTCCACCTTTTTACAGCTCTCCAGTCCCTCTAATTCACGGCTAACGATGATAAGGCTGACGAGATTCTTAGGCTCATTCGGCGAGAGTTGGGAAATAGGCTGGTGAATGAATCTCGGTATAAGAAATCTTTGCGTGTTCTCATCGCACTCATCTAACCCATCCACTATGCAAAACAAGCGGCCCAGCGTCGGATCAGCTGTAATTTTTTTCGAAGATGATCCAAAGACATGCCAGGGAAGACAAAGTTTGAGTTCTTCGCTCAGACATCTCGAGGTATGGGAAGGCGTGTTTAGCGAGCTCTGGCTGTTTGTCTATAATCTGATATAATAGTCTCCTCAATAGACCTGTGCCCTCATTCCGCTTTTTGTGAATGCAGAAAAAGTACACGACTTGTTTTGTTTTTCCGTTTGATAGTTCCTGCTTAAGTTGCTCCGCTAGGAAGATTGAGAGCATGGTTTTGCCTTTTCCTAGTCCTCCTGTGATCTAGAGCAGAGGCGTTTCCACCCCTTTCCAAGATCGATACTCCGCATTGTTCTTGATCCACTCACAGGTCCCAGTAGCTCTGGTACCTTTAGTAGTTATTAATTAGCTCGAGAAGGTCGACCTCGGGCTCGGAAACGAACAATGCATCTCGGCATAACTTTGCTCGCTGTTCGACTGTCTCTGTGAAGTCTCAGGAGGAGCTGGGATATCGAGCGATGACATTCAACATGCCCTGATGATTTGCATAAGACCCGAAGTATACATCGCGCGCGGATTCCATAGACACCCTGCGATCCATTCTGTATAGTTCCATGGCTAAGATTTTGATGCTGTGGAGATTGACCTGCAAACATCGCTCTGCAAGGCAGGAGTTGATCCTTGCGAAAATCCGGTTGTGGTATAAATCTTGCAGTAGCATAGATGGTGGAGAAGTATCGAAACCCCCGAGAAAGTGTAAAAAATCAAGGGTCAGAGAAGTGGAGTTATGTCTGTAGCCAAGCGGGGTATGCGGCGCAGGAGTAGGAAATGGAGGACTTGGCAATGTTTCACAGGTTTTGCGCCCCCAACACGTGAATTTATACAGTTAAGTACCAGAATAAAACGTTTACACTCAGGTACATCTGGCGGAGCAATACTGCTATGGAACACATTGATGCTTTGAGCTTCCTGTGCCGCGCGTCGACGGAGCTGTATTGGAGACAGTTGCTGATGCAAGCTACTAACATACTGCAAGGCGGGATGTCGGCAATAAAGCTGTTTGTGGAGCTCGGGTTGGTATTTTGACCTATTTCGATATCAATACTAAAAGAAGACCTATAATGGCCACAGGATGTCGTAAAAGATTCATGGGCAACGCTGCCTGCGTGTTGCTGAAGTCACTCCACAGAGCTATTGCCCTTTTGTTCAAGAACTTTCAATGCTAACTATATTTCTTCAGCAATACGCTCCAGCTTTTGTACAAAGTTTAGGTCTGTTACTTGCTCTATTTGCAAGGAAGCATTTGATCCTAGCTGAGATTCGATATCCATGTTCAAGCAGTGCTCAATGATTTTGCATAGCGAATGCCCGCATGCAGCACTGATCTGCGGCAAAAGAAACTCTGAGTTCACTGTGTCAACTTTGAAACGACTCCGTAGAAGCTGCTGCTGCGTTTTTTGAAGCATTGGTGGTCTGGCCTTTGAAAGACTCTCTAGTCCAATGACATCCTCGATAGGACGCCAGAGCGCAATTTCAACCATAATAACGCCTAGGCTGTAGATGTCGTACGATTTAAGATAATTGCCGTCTGTTTGGTTCGACTGCGCGTTAGGATGACGGTAAATGTCTTTGGCAGGCTCAAATATAGGTTTCTCAGTCCATTGATCCATGTTGCTAGGACGCGAAAGCTCGAATCCAGAGACGAATGGTGATTGAAGATCCGGGGAAGAGACAGAAGTAAAGAAGATGATGTTATCCGATCGGAAGGCCTTGTGTAGCCAGTTCACGGCATGGAGGCCGTGCAGACAGCGAGCTAGAGCTGCGCAGAGTGCTATACGTGTGCTGAGCGAAGGTTTTAGGGGTTCCGCGAGCAACTCTCGAAGAGTGACAATTTTGGACTCTGTACTTGAAGGCCCTTCAAAAACAAGCCCGAAAAGAGTCGCGTCATCTGCGTCTGTTGCCTTGATATACCCAAGACATGGCGGCGCCCGGAAGCCATCTGGCTTGACTGAGCGTAAGAGATCTGTTAACATGCCTATCCTCCACTGCATTTGCACATCGTCGGGACGGAAAGAAGAGATAATTGGAACCTCTTTCCACTCTATCCAGACTGTTTTACCATGATAGTTTGCCCATGTTCTTTGCTGCAGGTTCTCGGGCTCAAGCGCACCTTCCTTGAACTCGAAGTCCTCTAGCAGAAGCTGTGCATTGTCCAATTGAGTAAAATCTGGAGTATCTGGTGGGTCATTCAAATTGCTCATCTTTGTGAGTTGGATTTTGATCTGAACTAAGCGTTTCAGGTAGATTTTCTGCTTATCCTGTGCCGCCTGCTCCTCCACAACTGCTCGAGACAATGCATTGTTCGCTATGTCAGCTCCTGGAGGAAGGTTCCGTTGGTATTCTGATATTGGCGATAATGCCTTGACTAGTGCTGTCAAATCAACGACGTCATTGCGAAGCTGCAAGATCTCCAAGTAGGCCATATTCATAGAATCCTGTAGTCTCCGGAGCTGTGAGCTATCCAAGAGTGCTACGAGAAAGGAATTCAGATTCTCAATCTTCGAAACTAAAACTTCGAAAGATTGCTTATCCACACTTGCCCAAACCAGACGTTTAGGCTCTATGGCTATTGTCCGCAGACTTTTGGCCGTTTCAGCGATGGTTCGTCTAAGTCCACGAACTGGATTAGCAGCCTCTTTTCTTTGACTTGCAGATTTCGGGCCCTCGCTCTCAATCTGGTCGCTCCGTTTCAAACAAAGAAGGCCCATGAGATCACCTTCTGGCTCAGAGTGATCTTTCCACTCGATATCACTGTTTCCAACGATCTGTTCATACTTGCCATTGGATGCTGCGAATTCGTCAAACAAGACCTTGATTTCGGCAAGAACAGCGAGCAACAAAGAGCGGTTGACCTGGAGGGTGCTGCAGATGACTCGGTCTGCGTTCAAGACACCGGCCTCGAGTGCAAAGTTGAGGAAGCGCTGTTGCTCGATGTGAAGGCGCACTAGTATGTGACGATGCGATTGTGGCAGATTTGCAGCTTCCTGGTAGAATTTGTAGCCTTCACGCAAGGTTAGTTCTAGGTACATGGACACGGTTGGAGACGCCGAAGACCTTTGATACAATCATCCGCTAATTGAATAATCAGTGATGTCACGCCAACCGCAGCACCAAGAACGGATAAGGGATCTCCCATAGTTGAGGCAAAGAGGGGAAAATAGGCTAAGCAATGACTACTGGTGGCAGTCGACCCGTAAACCTGGACGATTGTGTGACTTTTCAATGTTCCCATAACATCTCTCAGGATGCCAAGATGTTGCCGCCTGTGGGGGAGGGGGTGGCGGCACAGCCCACCACTAGCAGTAGTACAACGAGTGGCTGAAAATGTTGGGGGCCGAAACGCTCCTTGTGCGCGTGCACAAGCGTTGCGACTGTTGCAACCAACACCACTACCTCGTGTAAAGCTTTGTACAGAGTACATTTTCGTGGTTAACCCTACTGGCTCCTCGCCTGGTCGCTCTCCTTGTCGCGACATTCCTGCCACCTGCGTCAATATAAGATAGATAGCCAGCAGCCGATCTGTGCCTTCTTACGATCACTGTCGATAATATCTTGGTTTAGGAGAGAAAAAGGGGGCAAAAAGCTGCAGAATGTGGACACGGACGCAAAAGACTTTCCGCTGGCTCTCAGCCATCACAGATCGAACAAACATGCCGAGGCGGAGGTGCTGTCTAGAAAAGTATTTCAACAGCGGACCAAAGTGCAAGGCAGCGAGCATGCCAAGACGCTGGAGAGCTGAGCATTACAGCTCCACGCGATGCTGATGCAGCAAAAGTTCAAGGAATTGGAACAACCGATACGAGACCTGATTCCACTGCAGGAGAAAGTGGCAGGCACTTTCCACCGTCACACTATCGCTCGTAGACGATGGTTAGCACTTGTACTTTTTACCAACAAAATTGCAAAGAATCAGAAAAGGTACTAAGAAAGGTAATTTCACACATGGATGTGGTATTGGGCACCGAAGACGTCATCTCGCTCGATTCTAAGATGAAACTAGCACACGCCTTGTCTCAACAGCATAAGAACAGGGAATCAGAAATACTGTTACGTGAATTGATTCCGAAACAGGAGAAGGCACCAGGCCCCGAACACGTCGACTAAGTGGATAGTAAATTCCAGTTAGCATTTTTACTTTACAGCCAGGGGGGGGAATCAGATGAAGTAGGTCAGCTGTTACAGGAGTTGGTCCGGCCACAAGAGAAGGCGCTGGGTACTCAAGACAGTGGGATGCACCGAACTAAACATTTGCTAGCAATGACACTATGGGAGCGAGAGTGGTATGCAGAGGCAGAACGAATACTGAAACAGCTCATACAGCAACGGAAAGGGGTTGAAAATGCCGATTGTGACGATAACCTTGCGAGCAAACATATGCTTGCAGTGACGCTCTACATGCATGGGCTGCACGCCGAAGCAGAGCGAATGTTGCAGAAGGTGGTACAGCAGCGAGAGTTATTGCTCGGTTTGGGTCATGAGGACACAATTGAGAGTAAAAGGTGGTTGGCAGCCATGCGTGACAGACGGGTTAAGCCCACAGAGAGACGGCATTTATCCTCGCAATCGGTTCAGGGACCACAGAAAGTTCTGACAATTCATTATGAGAGTAATTCTGCAAGAAAATAGCCTTTCCGCACAGCAATCTCTGCGGAGGCGCAACAACCACCTCAACAATTATCGGAACAACGAATAGAGATTCCACACACTCATCATGTGAACACTTCTGAGAGTAAGAATCCTATACACGCAGCAGTCCTTGCAGAGGCAAGACAGTTACCTCAGCACTTGTCACAGCCACCAACGGAAGTTCTAGACACTCGTCAAAGGAGCAAGCCTGCGAATACAGAGTCTTTGCATGCGGCAATTTTTGTTGGGGAAAGGCAAATGTCTCAACAATCAGTACAAGAACTAATGATGATTCAGGACACTCAACTTGCGAACAGATCCAGGGACAAAGAGCCTTTGAGCACAAAAGTTCCCGCAGAGGCACCAGCTGCTTCAACAAAATCTCTAGTAGATGTGATGTCCAACCGACCCGGAAATTCTTCGACGCCAGCAATAATAGACAAACAGCATATGAGGGATCTGAGATTCAACAAGTCTTGCTCCTTCTTAGTCAAGTTGTCGCGGCTGAGCCTGTACGCATTGCTGACGCCTGAACTGATATAGGAGATGGCGATGGTGAAGGAGCTGGAATCGAGGGTTATCCCCAACGGGCCGATACTCAGCCACTATGGAAGAACGGAGCTGGAGTATCGTATACCCGATATGAGTAGATAAAAGCTGAGCTCGAGTGAACCTCGAGCTTGACAGACAATTCATCCTTTTGTCCACTGAAAGTGACCTTATCTGAGCGTGACTTTTCTTCCACATAAGTGAATCTACAGTGGAGGAAAATCCCAAGAATATACATAGTACTTCGGACAATCAACTGCCTGGACTTCCTCGACACGTTCATCGATCTCGGCTTCTCTGATCACTGATTCCCCATCAATTAGCAGGGACTCTCGTCGTGTCTTGTACCCAGCAAACGCTCACAATTTGTAGCGACCCAGGACCTGGTAATGACCAAGTCTATGGATCTTGAGAAGGGCGAAGAGGGTCAGCACTGCTTCTTCTGGGAACACAAATCACTCCCGTTGGAGATGAAGGGCGTTCTTGGATCTGGAGGATTCGGACGGGTGGACCGGGTGCTTAGTTTGATTAGCTTCCAAGAGTACGCGCTGAAGCGAGTCCCGCGGAGTGCTGCGTTTAGTGGACGAAAGACAGAGGCTATCAAACAGTTTATTGCTAAGATCAAAGCCTCGAAGCGTATCAAACACCACCATGTAGTTGACTTTGTTGGAAGCTATACTGATCCAAAACACATGGGTCTGATCATGTCGCCTGTTGCTGACATGGACTTATCTGCTTACCTGGCTACTGTGGATACATTCAAATATTGAGAACTGTGTACCTTCTTTGGCTGTATGGCTCGCACTTCAAAGTTTTTGCACAAGAACAATATTTCGCACAAAGATATTAAACCCAACAACGTTTTGGTGTACAATGGAAATGTTCTCTTTACAGATTTCGGGCTGGCATATGACTCTCCAAACCAAGAAGGCAGCACGACGGCGAGCATGGTGAATGGGATGACGCCAAGATATTATTCGCCTGAGGTAGCCAACTACGAACCTCGGAACACATCTTCTGATATCTGGAGTTTGGGAGTGGTCTTTTCTAGAAATGACGGCTGTGCTCAAAGGCAGAGCGATTAATTCCATCTACACCTTTCTCAAAGAGCACGGGACATCTCAAGCTTTTATACGCACGAACCCTACTGGTACAGATGCTCTTATCATAGAACTCAAAGGAATTGGTAGTCCTGCCGACAACGTAGCGCTTGTATGGACGCAAGATATGATCATGGTACAGCAACAGCTGCGGCCCACTGTGACATCACTGGTGGCGTCTATACTCAGCAAGAGTCAGGAGGAGAGTGGAAGTGAAGTATTTTGTGAGATATGCTGTACTTCTCAGCAGGATGATTTGAGTGATTTCAATGAGTTGGACATAGCTGACATGTGATGAACTCGCAACAGATTTTGCAGTAAAATTTATTACCTAATGATTTCTGACATATAATTATTACACTACAGAGACTAATCGCCATCGTTGTCATACAGCAACTAATACTTAGCCATTCTAGCTTTTGACAGCACCGTCGTTCGTCGTTTCATCCTCCGACATTCTTCCAGAAAATCCAACCCATTTAGTCCCCTCTTCCTTTTGACAAACATCCTATCCACATCATCTCCAGCAAACATCTTTTCAAATAGCATACGCGGTAGAGGCTTTGCACGAGCGCTATGAGAAACCATGTGCTCAGCTTGTTCCTGTAACGATGTCAACTTTCCATGTGCTTAATGGAGCTGTGTTGCACGTACCCGAGATGTCATCGTTGTCCATGACAAACCACAAAACAAGCACTTGGCCGCTATCTCGCAGTTTAATACGTGTACGGGGGTTTCTCTCTAATCATCGGTTCCATCAGCATGCAGCATGATGGTAGCAAAATGCTTCGATGGATTCAGTAGTAGCGGCGGCTTGTTGAAACTCGGGCTAAGCTGCTCTAGCCACTTCATGATTGACTGGCGGTGATTCACTTGCGGGTCGAGAATGAGTGCAGTGCTGGCTCTGCGATATAACGATCCTCCATTGTTGTCAGTGTCAGCCTCATTCAGGAAGTTCTCAGTTTCGCAATCTTCAGAAACCTCGCTTTCGCGATTCGGGTCGTCGTCGTTTACGTGGATGCAGGGCTTGTATGATTGTTTCTTTGCAAGACAAACTTCATGATGGTGCTCTTTGCCCACTGTTTTCCTAGCAATAGAGCATCGAGGTTCCTTCAACCCTTCCTTTCCACCAGCACTCACACTCTCCTCCTTGTCATCTACTTCCTTCTTGTCACCTTCTTTCGTATCCCGTACCCAAAAATAATAATGCGGCACATCGCAGCTTTTGAACCGCACGTACCGCAAGCTGCTTAGCTCTTTCTCCACCTCATGCATCTCCTTTCCGAGCCCAAAGTCCAGGTACGCAGGTATGTACCCAACAGCACCAGGCCTCCACTTGCATGTCTCATACACCTCAGCCACCAACTTCCCCTTGATCCTTTTTCTCCTCCTTTTCCTCTCATCTCTCGCCCCACGATACGCTTCGGACGTCCACTCTACGCGTCTCGCTCTTCTCTCTTCCATGCTCCACTTGCCGTACACATCAGCAAGGCTCTTGGCTGGGTTGCTAGCATTGCCGAGATGAAAATACAGAGTAGCATTGTCTCCTTGCACAAGTGTTCGAGAAGCCCACTCTTCACCAGTCTCAATCACGGCATTGTATAATATGCGTTCCAAACGCCCTTCGTGGGCTGCGGCGCGCACAGAAGCACAGAGAAGGGGGACAAAGTCTGGGTCTACGGTTAGAGGGTATTTGAGGCCTGGGAGGCAGAGTTTCTGCTTGCTTGTTGTTGTGATGATCTTGAGTGGGGCATAGGTTTTTATTATTGGTCGGAGAGCGGGAACAGGTGGCATGATTTCGTGTGGCCATTCCAAGAGTTGGAGTTTACAGGATGGTATGAGGGTGTGATTGGTGGGGTCAGGAATTGACTCCGTCGAAGTGCTATCCCAGGACGAGTCACTGAGTGCGTATCCTATGGCCTCGCCCATGTACTCGTTTGGAATGTTTTCCTGGCGTTCCATCTCGTTGTCACTCAGGGTGTCGTCGCTGACACTTTCATCTCGCTCTTTTTTCCGCATCTTCTCAACCTTCCTTCGGAGTTTAGCTTCGATCAGCGCCTCCTGTTCTGCAACGATGCGTTCCTGTTCCCTTTTCGCTTTCTCTTGCTTCTTGCGGAGAACATTTAGGTTTTTGCGTTCAGCGAGTTTTTTGTCTTCATCGTTTCGCTTTAGTGCCCACGCCATTTCCACCTTTTTCATGTCCTTGCGATATACACCGCGCTCTTTTGCCGCATCGAGCAGCTCTTTGTAGTTGTAGGCATCATAAACAGAATCTGTCCTGTCCGAATCGCGCACCCTGTGTGTACCACCCCGGCGATGTGCAGCAGCTTGTGGCGCCTTGCTGCGTTTGTTAGGCTCCAGAGATCGGCCGTATGTGCTGACTGAACGTTGTTTCCCTCTTCCTCTGGACATCGTGCTCACGTCGTTATCGGAACTACGAGAATGTTTTGTCACTATAATACAGGATTTAACGACACGTATGTCGGCTGCAAAGATCAAGGCATAGGACGCCAGATGTTGCACAAAACTTGATTTGCTATGGACATGCCGTGTAATTTTGAGGCCCAGTCCGAAACCCATGTCTTTGACGAGTCTTGGATGAAAGTGGTGGCATCTGGTCACATTGTTATCACTGTAGCCTTTGTCTCATTGTTAGTATGAAGGGAAAATCAATTGAAAGACTGCGAAACATGACGGCACACGACGTTCAATACAATGTCACTTGGATGTTTGGAACAGTTCATTTGCAAGTATATGCAAGACTTTAGGGTATCTCACTGTGGCGGGTTAACTTACGGATGGTTTCGATTGGGAGGAAGCTGCTTACAATTCCGACTTCGCTGTTTCTTCCCTCTTTTCTTTCTTCAAGTCAAAGAAACCCTCCAACTCCATCCATTCAGCGGTGAAAGCCATGAACAATTTAGTCCAATCTTCCACCGTATCCATATCAAGATGTTCTGCGTCATCCTCCATTGTGTGCCACACAGTTGGAAATGGCGAGGGAATCATGTGCAGAATTTCAACGCCGCGAGCCATGAAGGGAATGTGGTCGTCCTCCACAAACCCACCCATGAAGTTGGTGCTTGTCTTGGACGCTTCGGGCAGGAAGAGTTTCTCATCACGAGGCTTTTTATTCTCACGCTTTGCCATTTTGGACTTGTGATTTGGAGATGACTTCATCAGACCGAGTTTGCGCAAGCGCTCCTCAATCTTTGCCACGTTTTGATACGCCCAGTGAGTGGTTGAGAAGTACGAGGGTACTTGTGGGTTCTTGGAACCTAACAGGTCAAGGAGGACGAAGAGTTCGATCGAGTCGAGGGGCGTCCGGTAAATCGAAGCGGCGGCATGGAAGGTCGACTCCCAGTCGCCAGCAAGAGCCCTGCACGTCATAGTTTAGCACTTGGTCGTGGTGATCACAAAAAACATTACCCACCTGGCACCATAGAGACTGTCGGTAGCGGTCCAGGATTTGAAAGCTTCCTCGCCGTCCAGCAGCAGGACTTGGACGCCTTTGTGCTCGACTTCAAAGTTGTCGCCCTTGGCATCAGCCCACTTCTTGGTCAGGGCCGCATCGATGCTGCGCACAATATGCAAGATCATGGCGCATGGGGCGGCACTGTCGGTGGCTCCGATGAAGCCCGGGGGCGTGTACTTGCTGTCATAATGGGCGACCAGCGCCAGCCTCGACACATCACCTTCCAAGCTGCCTGGAGGGTCGCGGGTGGCAATGATGTTGACAAAAGGCACTTCTTTTCCATTGCTGACGGGCGTCGTCGACGAGGAGTTGTGAAGTTCTATCCGCCATTCGGGCAATTGAGACTTGAAGAAGTCTACAAAGTGCTTGCGCACGGCAGCATTGCCCTCAGTGCCCGAAACTCTGGGGACCAGAATGGGCGCCAGCAAGGAGCCCTTTTTGATATCGAAGTCATCGCCGGGCCCGGGTAGGTGCTTGAGCGTCTCGTCGCTGAGGTCGTGGTAAGCGGAGCCAAGGGAAAGGCATGAAAGAAGCGTCAGGAACGCGCGGGCGAACAACATGATTGCGGCCTGTCACATGAAGCATGCACCAATAAATCCGAGGCGGGCGAGACGGAGAAATAAATAACGGTGGTTCAAACAACAATATGACTAGTAGCAGACATAGCGACGGCTGGCACGTGTGTAGTGGAGTAGTCGGTTGGAGTCGTTTAGAGGAATCGTGGCTTCTCCTTGTCTCCAGCCCAGACGCTGAGACACGCACCGCCCCCTCGGCGCTCGGGCGAACTTGCGCCGTGTCGCCGACGCACGTGACACCGCGACAGCTGCAAAACTCGATGCACATTCACCCCCTCGTGCTTTTTCGTCATTGGCCAATTGCCTCCCGACACGCCCGACCGAAGCGACCACCACCATGGACAGCAGCCATTGAAGCATCACATGCAGGAAATCGGCACGCTGCGGGCAAGACTATTCAACAAATACAGTACAATTGGGATACCCGTTTTCTACCCACTCCCGGTCAGCATGCAGCCACGTCTATTCGTCTTTGCGACTGTTTTCAGAAGCACTGCACCACTAACAAGAGGTGAACGACCGGTCATCAAGTCGCACATTCCCAGCTTTGTATGTCGGAGCTGCCAAAGGAAATTTTCCACTTCTCCAACCCTGCGCTTCTTCGGAAAGTCGGCAAAAGAAGGAGCCAAAGCAGTTGAGAAAGATCGGAGTATGTACCAATCACTCTCTTCGAATCTCTCTGCCATCAATTGACAACCACAATAGAATACCCATCTCGACTACTCATCTACGATGCGGGTGACGCACGAACCACATGGATCTCCTTCTGGAAAGCAATGGCCTTGCTGCAGTTCGGTACCACATTAGTCTTTGGTGTACCCCCCTTATGGAACAATGAAAACCAGCCTGACCCACGATTGAGAAAGATGCAGGCCATCTTGGGTAATTACCATTCCTTTTGCTATCATCTTGTACATTTTCATTCACCCCTCGAAATGTCACCTGACCGTGCTTGGTGTTCATCTCGCGACTATTCATTTCAATTGCGCTCAAATGATTTCCAGTCAATTCTACTTCTTTCTCAGTCTATCTTTGTAGGGTTGTTCGGTTTTCTAAACCATGGTTCCTCCTTATTTTGCGTCTTGACTACGATCCTTTCCAGTCATGCAACTCCACAATATCCCGAGGTGCATATGTTCAATTGACATTTCAACCCCTCACTCTTCGTCTCTCTTCTAATGCACCACCGATACCCAACCAATATCTAACAATCCCATTCAGTCGGCGTCCTTGGTACCATCCCCACCCTAACCCTCGCCTACCTCACCGCCCCCTTCGTTCACCAAATTTTCCTCCAAATCCCCGAACACGCTCGGCGCTCCCGCCATGATCTCCTCCGCTTCGCCAGCACCTTGCGTAAGAACCCCCTTGCAACCGCAAACACCAAACTCGAATTCGTCACCCTCCGCATCTTCCCCTTCCGCAAACACACGACCGCTTTCCTGCATGAGTTGCGCGCTCTACCACAGCGCCGATTTCGCCTTGCCAATATCGAATTGCCTAAAACAGATGCATGGGCGCAGAGACAGAGAGAGAAGGGTATCTTCAAGAGGGTGCTGGATGTGATTAACGAGCCGAGGTTCAAGTTTTATGTTAAAGAAGGTAGGTTGTATACGATGAAGACCAAGGTTCCGGGTGTGTGGGAGGAGGTTGCGGAGAGAATTCGGGATCAGACAATTGTGGAAAGGGAAGAGCAGGAGAGGAGGAGCCGGGATGGTGCGGTTGCGGTGACGAGGAAACCCGTTGTGCCTGCCAAGAGGGTGAGTAAGCCTGTTCTCAAGGTTGACGAGAGAATCAAGAGACAGACGACGAGAAGCCTGCGCAAGTAGATATTGGGGCCTCTACCATGATGACAAGTTGAGCAGCTCCCATGCCTAAAGCACGAGGTATGAATTGTAGTCAAACGCTAGCAACAACCTGAAGGATGAGAGATGTACAAAGGTTACAACGACATAAGTGCTTTGCATGATTACGTTTATCGGTTTTTGCCTACTACAATCTCATTGATCCTGACACGAAATTCTATGCCAACTCATGAAACACCGGCTTATCCTTCTCAAGCACATCATTGTAGCTTGGCAATTGCTTTTCTATCGACCCACGGGAGCCAGCACCCTGATCCACCAGACCACAGCGCTCCAGTAGCTCCGCGAGCCCAACCTCACGATAAACCTCGTTCCAGCGCTCTTTTTCGCGTTGCGCCGTGCCGACTGATCCAAAAAGGTGATCCATCTCTTCCTAGAATATCCATTAGCATCATATTCAGTGGTATGGTCTGAGATCCTAACTTACCAGCGACAATCCCTTTGTCTCCGGGAAAAAGAAGAAGATAAAGGCGGCGCCCACGGCAGTAAAGATACCAAAGAAGATATATGTGCCATAACGCAGGTGCGTAAGCATATCTGGTGTTACTTGACCAACAATGAAGTTGTTCATCCTACAATGACATTAGTATCTCGAGCTATGGAGATCGCTCCTGGAATAACGACTGCACTTACCAGTTGGAAGAAGCGCCAAGAGCAATACCGTATGGGCGATTTGCCAGCGGCCAAATCTCCGCCATGACGATCCACGAGCAAGGACCCCATGAGTAACCAAAGAACACAACAAACAGCCAAACCATTGCGCATGCCGCCCATCCTGCACCCTGGTGGTTTGGCCAGTCGTCTTCGAAGCTGGCTACGATGCCAGAGATGATGAAATGGCAAGCTGCCATACCAATGGCTCCACTGATAAGCACTGGTTTGCGGCCAAGAGTGTCGACATACAAGACTGCTGGGACTGTTGACTCGTTAGCATCATGTATTGAGTCTTGGGTAGATATGGCTCTTCAACTTACTGGTCGCAAGAAACATGGCGATTCCAACAACACCGGTAGCCAGTAAACTAACAGAGTTGCTCGACAACCCCAGATCACCGAAAATGGTCGGCGCGTAGTACAAGATTGCATTAATTCCCGTCCATTGTTGGAATAACATGGTAAGCACTGAGATGGTGACACGCTTGAACATGCCCTTTGTCGTAAACAGGCTACCGATCGCGACAAACTGGAGTCTGGATATTGATGCCGCGCTCATGTCTTGAAGGTGGGGAAAGTTTTCCGCGAGCGACTTTTTCTCAAACAGGCTCTGAGCGCGGATCTCAGCGTACTCGAGCTCAATCAGCTCATCGTCTTGGGAAAGGCCGCGCAGCTGGGCGAGTACACGGCGGGCCTCATCTTCGCGATTGTGATGAACGAGCCAGCGCGGCGAAAATGGCATGAAAAGCATGCCTACACCGAGAAGGAC